TTCTTGTGGATCAACAAAAACAGGAAATACGAAGCATTAAACTTGATGAGCTGAGATTTTTTATAAACCTCACCAACCATGTATAAATGCCCTGTAAATTCCTGAACGCAATGTGGGTCCCTTTTTACTCAAACCACTGTTGTAATATTCTTTATTATTTCCTAGCAAAACACTGTGTATGCACAATGCAGATGATCAATTGAAAGCGTACTAATGATTTCTTACTTGTTTCTACTAAGGAATTTGAATTCTCTATAGTGATAAACTGTTTCTGCTAAAGGTGTACAGACCTAAAATGTTATGATACAATACCAAAAAAGGCATAGTGGAAATAATATGTCCTGTTTAGAATGGAGAAGGGAGAGTGGGCAGATATAAAAACACATAATTAATGAAAACATTTTTTTTAAAGGGAATGAAGCAGGTTTAAGGTTCTTCATATGTGAGGTGTGCCTCCCCTGGGGAGGTGCAAAGGTGTTAGTGGGGATGTCTGATGTTCCTCATTAACATTTTTATAATGGCTTTTTTAAAGAATTGAGTTTAGAAACAGTCGAATTGCGATATCTATATAAAAAAATGGCGGAGGCATCTGGGTAAACGAATAATCGAAGTGTTCGGTAAAACAAAGACTGCTGTTATTGTGTGCGGTTGTGTTTAGTAAAATGAAGACTGTCTGTTTAGTTCAATCTTGTACCAAATCCCCGTGACGGAGATGAATCACAACACTTGCTTACAACAATTGCAAAAACAGTAGAAGATCACACACACGATAACTCCACACTCGGCGACAGTTATTGTTAGATTGCAATGTACAGTCTGAATGACTGCAACAACTTATTTTTCCAAAACCGTTTAATTTCAATTATTACTAGCATCGTTAACAGAGTACTTGACAGATTTGCTTGGAATCTTGGAGCCAGCTAAAAAAGTAAGGAGACAGTTTTTGTTTTTTTTAAACTAAAAAACTAAAAAAGCTTTATTTTTTCAACGACAAAATGCTTAACCCCTTAAGGACACATAACATGTGTGACATGTCATGATTCCCTTTTATTCCAGAAGTTTGGTCCTTAAGGGGTTAAACTCCTTTACTGTGTTAACCTCTACCACTTCAGCTGGAAGACTATTCCATGCATCCACTACCCTCTCAGTAAAGTAATACTTCCTGATATTATTTTTAAACCTTTGTCCCTCTAATTTAAGACTATGTCCTCTTGTTGTGGTAGTTTTTCTTCTTTTAAATATAGTCTCCTCCTCTACTGTGTTGATTCCCTTTATGTATTTAAATAATAATAATAGATAAGTGACACCATGATGTTCTTTTGTGTGCATGTCTTTCTTTTAAGAGGTAGAAGTGAGAGTCAAATGAGTGACCAACTACACAGGTCAAAATAGGCTTTCCACTACTCGTTGTTACATGAGAGTTTGGGACCAAACATGTATATGCCCCCCAAAAAATAATCATGGTTTCAGTTGTCTAATCACTTGTCTTGTTGAGTGGCAGGAATGGCAGAAGTTATAATCTTGATACAACCTTGTTTCCAGTTATCGGACATATTTCAGGGTGTTCCAATACCATCACATTACAATTCATCAGTAAAGTGTCCTTTATAGTAAAATGTGCAGGTGCTTCATTAAAAACATTTCTTAATAAAAAAAATTTAAAAAAAGTCAGACAAGCCATGGCATATTAACTCACATACTGTATAAGTGTACAGACTTTCTTACAGTTAGCAATCAATGCAGTTGTATGTATTAACAGATACTGCATCAAGATCGTGAATTGTTTAACCACAAAGTCTTTACTCTAGCACTGAATCTTTCTGTCCTTTCATTTGCTTAAAAACAAAAGCTTAGGGCGGCCGCAGGCAGGAAAGCCACTGATTGGCTGAGAGTGGTCAGCCAGCGTTCTAAGCCAGTCTGTGGCTCTCCTTTCCCAAAGTGACTTGAGAAACGTTTGTGAACACTTTAACCCCTAAAGATGAGCCAACGTGAGTGCTTCCTAGCACCATTACAACTTTATAACAACTAAGTTGTGCCTGGAGTATTCCTTAAGTCTGTTTTAAGTGTGCATATTTTACATCTTGATAAAATATTTGTGAAAACATACGAAATGCGTCGATCGCGAACTGTGCGATAAATGCTTGTCTACGCTTATAAATAAATTCATATGCCATTACTTGTCTGTCTTGAATGATTTTAATTTTGAGCGGGAAAAGAAAGGAGTATTTTTAATGACGCAGCTGCACTTTTCACTATATAGGACACTTATTGATGAACTATGCGTGAGTTTGACTAACTTATCTATAATTTCAATATTTATCAAAACATGTTATTTTCTGCTTGTTTATATTTAAGTTTATTTTCCAAGACTTTAACAGTTGTAAGCTACACCGTTTGCTACTATTTTGCTCTAATTTTTTTAAAATTTTAGTTTGAAGGACTGTGTGGTTTCAGATAGGTTTAGCACTGGTGTTGTAGCTGGGATTTTACTATATTGGCACTTTAGCCATTTATTTGATTGTAATGCTCAAGATGTGCATAATGCTATCTTGAAGGCCAACTGAAATGACAATGGAGATTTAAAAATTGGCAACGAGTGGTATTATGTTACACCTAAACAATACAGAACTATATGAACAAAGAGTATTACTGTGTTAGCTGTAGAAATACAGGAGGCAAGTAAAGAGGAGACTTTTTGTATACGTGGTAGTCAAGCTCTCTTCTCAACTTTGCAAGTGAGACAAATGCTTGGTAACAAGGCAAATGTCTTAAAATAACAGTTAAACAATGCATTGTGTATAAACAGTACATGCTATAAATAAAATAATAAAACGACCCTTTGCTCGTGTAACAGACAGGTGTAAAATATTTTTTATTTTTTGTAGCCAGTCTCTATATGTGTCGAAAGATCTTCACACTTTTTCACATTGAACCAGGATGTGTAATGTGTTATGATTGCAAACGATATCCGCTTGTGTCCAAATGTTTACATTAAGAGAACATTTCCACAATCTACAAAAATATATGGGAATTAAACTAATGTATAAGTTTAATAATATGCTGATTAGTACATCTTTTATCCCACCATAAAAGTGTGAGAGAGTTTTAGCACCTACAAAGATTGTAGGTTGTGTAGCTTGAAGATGATCAAAGACTTTGTTTCTGGCTGTGTGTAATAACAATTTCACACTATATATCCACTTGGCTGTCCAATAAAGAAATTAATAAAGAAATCACATTTACTTGTTTTCAGTTATAATTAAGGGAGGACTGGCAGCTTTTCCCCTTGGGGCAAGTACAGAAAAACAGCCATTTTTGTACACAAAATTTGCATATGTCTTTGTGGACTGTCTTCCTCACCTGGTCCAAGTAATATATGGGGTTGACAGATGCAGATTCTCACAGGGTTAAAGGGACACTATAGACAGTGTCCATATTGCCCTTACTGCAGAGAAACTGTTTACATTGCAGCACTAAGTCAGTCTCTAGTGGCCCCTAGAGGGCTTCCTGGATTGAAACGGACCTTTGGTCCGGTATCTGACGCTGGACGCCCTCACGCTCTCAGTGAAGACCTCCAGCCTCAGATTTTTCCCCATAGGAAAGTATTGATTCAATACTTTCATATGGGGAGGTCTAATGCGCGCGCACCATTTGCCGCTCTTGTGCATTAAAGCGCACTTGTCGCCGGACAGAGGAAGAGGAGGAGCTTCGACCTTCGGCGCTGGGGTCAGGTAAGTAAATAAAGGGTTTTAAACCCTTTATTTACTGGGAGGAGAGAGCGCTAAAGAAGGGGGGAGGCAGTGGGAGCGATAGCGCCAGGAATACAGCTTTTTTTATTCCTGGCACTATAGTATCCCTTTAATCACTAAAGTAAGAATTGTAATTTAAAGTGAATTTCAAATTAAAGCCAAAGTAGCTGAGATGGAAAATAATCTTCAAGCCAGCTATGCATCCAGTTTGGCTACTTTGTCCTTAATTTTGAAAATGTCACTATAGTGAATAACACTGTTGGTGTTTTGAAGTGTGGCATTCTTAGGCATGTCAAATAAACTGTACAAGATAAGAGATACAGACAAAAGGATCAGAGCTGATCAACCAAACCAAATAAAGTTTAGAATATTAGATAGGTAGGCAGCACACTTTAGGATATAGGGATTAATCTTAGCCCCACACAATAAATACAATAGTAAAAAAGGATAAGGGGAAAGGTTGCACCAAAACAATATTATTCTAATGCGTATAAGCAACACTAAAAACTATTGTAACAGGATATAGCAAATATATAAATAGAATGATAAAAATTTAAAAAATCAGTGGGTATTGTTTTAAAAATGTCCAGTGTAGAGAAATAAACTTGACAGAAGAAACGGCTATGGTATTCTTTAGAGAGTATTCTTCCGCCAGGAGATCGATCAGAAGAAATCTTGGAATTCACTTATAAAAACAAAGATAGACTAATAGTGTAATATATCCCAGAAATTGGTTTATAATAAGTCTATATGGTCCTACTCACATTTTCTAGAGCTTTGACCAGCTCTAGTATGGATAGCGTATAGTTGTACAATCTCCACTTATAGGATACGTGAGAAGTTGATAGTAGTTTCAATAATGTGAAGACCATAAAATTATAAAAGGAACAACAATAGTGCTCAAGTGCTCACTGTATAAAAACTCCAGGAGTATAAAAATTTAAATTAGTACTCCCATTTGATTGAGCAGGCAAACTGCTCAATGGATAGCGCTTGAGTGGTATAATCCCCACCTGGGATTCTTTGGAGTAGTCCTCACTGGAACAGAATGGATGCCAAGTAGTAGAGAAGTAAAAGTATAAAATAATAATAATAATAAAAGAGTAAAATGGCACACTTACGGTGTAAATGTAGCCAAAATTCCTTTATTAACAATATTAAAATATCCACAATGAGTTTCACCTTTAAGGCTTTATCAAGTCCACTTGAATGGCACACGCACGATATAAAAGTAGCCAAAATACCTTTATTAACAATATTAAAATATCCACAATGCGTTTCACCTTTAAGGCTTTATCAAGTTTACTTGATTAAGCCTTAAAGGTGAACTGCGTTGTGGATATTTTAATATTGTTATTAAAGATATTTTGGCTACTTTTATACTGTGAGGGTGCCATTTTTCTCTTTTATTATTATTATTTTATAATTTTACTTCTCTACTGCCTGGCATCCATTTGTTCTGTTCCAGTGAAGACTACTCCAAATAATCCTAGGTGGGGATTATACCACTCAAGCGCTATCCATTGAGCAGTTCGCCTGCTCCATCAAATGTGAGTACTAATTTACATTTCTATACTCCTGGAGTTTTTATACAGTGAGCACTTAAGCACTATTGTTGTTCCTTTTATCATTGTATGGTCTTCACATTATTGAAACTACTATCAACGTCTCACATATCCTAATAAGTGGGGGTTGTACACTATCCATACTAGAGCTGGTCAAAGCTCTAGAAAACATGAGTAGTACCATATAGACTTTTTATTATACACCAATTTCTGGGATGTATTACACTATTAGTCTTTCTTTGTTTTTTTTATACAAATTCCATGATTTCTTCTGACCTCGATCTCCTGGCGGAAGAATACTCTCTGAAGAATACCATAGCTGTTTCTTCTGGCAAGTTTATTTCTCTATACTGGACATTTTTTATAATAATACCCATTGTTATATTACATTTTGATCATTCTATTTATATATTTACTATATCCTGTTGCAATAGTTTTTAGTGTTGCTTATGCACATTAGAATAATATTGTTTTGGTACAACCTTTCCCCTTATCCTTACTATTATGTCTAAGAAACTGTTATGTCCGACATGTAAATGCCTTGAGCATTTCCTTATGTCACCTTGCGGCCACTGTCAAGCACATGAATGGACATCATGAAAACATAAATACATACTCATTATAGTACGGCAGCCTGGTTAGCTGTCATACTGAAATCTTCTCCTGTGAAGTATTCCAATGTGGGAAGCCAGGCCTGGAGAACAACGAGAGAGCAGGCCATTAGCTAAATAACTAACCCTTACAGTACTGACATGGTGAATGACATTAAAGTTCATTTCTGCTTCTCACGAACCACTCTGTCAACACACATCCCAATGCATGACCGTAGCAGTTAATCAGCTTAAGAATGGTACTGATAGGCCGATACACATTTCCATGCTAAAAAAAAATATGCATTCCCATACAGACACGCACACGCAGGCATGCATCCAAACATATGTATGTATCTTTGTGACAAATCTTTGAGTGTGTGGCAGTTTTTATTTATATACAAACTGCCACACACACAAAGATTGTAACCAAGATATATACCGCTAGACACATACATTCACACATATACACTGCCATACAAAGTGTATATGTGAGAATGTATGTGCGGGAAGTGTGGTGTTAAGAGAATGGTGAATGTTTGGTTTTGGCTATTTCTAATTCTGTAGTAGATGTAAATAAAACAAATAAACTAAAAGCATCATAACCACTGCAGCTGGCCACAAATATGCACCGTTAGGCTATGAAGCCTGATTAAAGCTTCATAGCCACCATGTTGCACAATTGTAGTGTGTTCTTCACAATAAAACATTCTTCATAGGCTACTTGTGTTGCCCAGCTTTTTTTTATTTTTCTAGTGTGCGGGGAAGTGTATTTGGGGATTCGCAAGCTCTGGATATTGCTGGCCTGGAGCTGCCGTGTTTGGGCACCTTTTGGGTACCTTGGAGTGCTCTGTGAATCTTCTCATGGGATGTTGATGTTGCACAGCTTTTGTTGTGATTGTGAGTGTTTAAAACCAGTTAGTTCTGTGGTCTTCCCTGCCTCACTCTTTCCACTATTTTTTTCACTATTATAAAATTCAAACACTGTCTGACCCCAAGCTGTTTGTATATGGCTGAAGGATCCAGTTATATACTAAAGGCAGGCATTTTTTATTTTACATATAATTCATGTAACAAAGAATAGGTTTCCTTACAAAACTTGATGAAATTATCATTATATTAAAGATAGTGATGTTGATGACATTTGTGACAGTTGTCTTTTAAATAATCAAATTATTGGACAATAAATATTTATTATGAGATGCAGACATGCATTGCTAGTATTCCTATTGGAAAAGAAGCAGTTAACATCCCTGCTGCCCCCTCGACTTTTCGTGCCCCTATAAACAGAATACTCATTCATAGAACTGTACTTTATCTGTTCCCTTCCATCTGCCAGGATACAGCTGGATTCAACAGCTCATAGTACCCTTTTTCCTCAACTTCTGCTTTAATGTTAACCCTTCAGCTCCCAGAACTTTATCTAAGGCGTAACCAAAGTACACAATAACAGCCAAGTCTAGACAGTGACCACGCACATCTTCAAAGCTTATTATTAAGCCATTGGTATGCAGCATACAATAACAATCTCTATTTTAAGTCATAAGCCTTGTAAATTGTTGTATACTCACTGTTTTATAGAGGACTGGGACTTAAAGTAACAGCAGATGGTATAATTCAGCAAGCCTTTAGCCAAATGTTCAATGCTAAGAGTGTGAAAAGCCGTGTATAAGTAAGCATTATAGGATTATTCCAGGGTCAGCTGCAGAAGGGAAGTAGTTTAACACTTTTGAACAAAACTTTAATATCCCCCTTTAGGACCCATGATTTGTGAGACTAGTTTTCCACCTTAGTTATAAACCTGATCTTTATATTGTACGTTTACCTCAGTATGACGCTTGTCATTCCTTATTTCTGTGTGCCTAAATTTGTCATCATTTCTGTATAAGTTTACACATTGTGTAGACCAGCAGGCAAAAAAATTCACAGCAAATTGCATTACATTGTTACGTTGTTGTCAAGTTAAAAAAAGATTGAAGTACATCAAGTTCAACTGTGAATCCTATTATTTTTTGCTGTTGATTCAATAGAAGGCACCCTCCCCAATTGTAGCCATCTCCAATTAGGCCACATAAATTAGGGGGGGGGGGGGGATAGATCCTTCTTGACTCCATAATGGCAATCATATTTATTCTTGGATCAACAACATTTTTACATACATATCAATTATAAATATTCTTGAATATTCTGTGTTTTCAATTTATCTATAGACTCCGATAACACCACCTCTTTAGGCAGATAATTCCACATCTTTATTGTTCTGACAGTAAATAACTCCTTTCTTACAGGCTCAATTGGTGACCACTTGCCTGTTATTTATTCCTTCTAGGGAACAGGTTAGCATATAGTAGTTTGTACTGACCCTGCATATATTTGTATAGTGCTATCATAACCCCGCTGAAGCACCTTGTTTCTAAAGAAAAACATGTCAGTTTTTCTATCCCATAACTAGTATTTTCCATTCCCCTTACTAGTTTTGTAGTTCGCCCCTGCACCTTTTCTAGCTTTGCAATATCCTTCTTTAAAACTAATGCCCAAAACTGCACCACATATTCAAGGTGGGATCTTACCATTGATTTGTAAAAAGGCAAAATTATATTTTGATCACGTGAAGCAAAACCCCTTTTTTTATACACAAAAGCACATTGTGGCTTGTGGGTTCCTTATTCAGATATTCATGACTTTGCATTTATCTGTATTGAATCTCATCTGCCACTTGCCTGCCCAGTCCCCCAATGTATCCAAATCCCTCTGTAGAGAAGTTATATCATGTTCAGACTGTATTTTCTGTTTACCTAGTTATGTGTCATCTGCAAATGCAGACAAATTACATTTAGGATATGCACCAAGAGAAAATCACCATCTAAACCTTACTTAACCCCTTAAGGACACATGACATGTTCGACATGTCATGATTCCCTTTTATTCCAGAAGTTTGGTCCTTATGGGGTTAAAAATGCTATTTTTAAAATAGTCACTAAATGCACTTTTTTTTTTTTTTTTTAAACCCTCTAAAAATCTTAAGGTTAAACCTAAATTCATACAAGAGTACCCACAGAGACATAACAAGAGATAAAGAGGGCAATTTGGCTTTGAATTAGGGAATTTCTCGGCAAACTTGGAATGTCTGGTACAAACTTGCACATACATATTCCTACAGGATATATTATTGATTTAAACCAGAAACTCTGCAGCGCATTGTAGTGGCTAAAAGTATTTTTCAGTGAACTCACTCTATGATTGCCGTCCAAAGTTGGATGGATAATACGGAAGGAAATCTTCTGCTTTATCTCGACAACTGCATATACAATGCCTTCCTGAAGTATCTTAATTTTTTTCTCAACAGTTTGACAAAAAATAGGAGAATAGCACTCAAAGAGTCCTTGCACCATAACCACTACAAAGAGCTGTAGCGGTGACGGTTCATAGAGTATCCCTACCGCTTTGTGCTAATTGTCAGAAGTAGATTGTTGTACCTTGCTTAGCCCTAGTCATGAAGGTGTTAAAACTGACATCTGGCAATTGTATACATAGGCTATATTTGCAATGGGTTTTTTTGTGTGTTTTTTTTACAACATACGTAAGGCTCCAACTGTGGGATATCAGGCAGATCATATGATTGTCCAAAAATCCTCTGCATTCTAACCACATCTGGCTCAGGCACTGGCCTTCAGTGAAACATTATTGATTTAATACATGCTAATAATAGAACGCCTGTTTGAACCCTTTGACTGACTGAGAGAATGTAGCGCCTTGCCCCAAGCAAATAATCTCACCCAATGCCGCTACAGAAGCTGTGATATCCAAAATAATTCGGCTCGATTTCAGGGCTCCTTTAAGAACTGCACAGAATGCATCCCTGAAGTACATGAAGCAATGCATTGTAAGTTCCACCCAGCACAGAGAAGGTTAAGACCCGGTGTCACAGGCACAGCCTCAGAGATGTTTCAATGAGCTATGGCTTGTTCATAAGATGTCAGGACATTTCATTGAATCCAATGAATGAATGTCTCTAGAGTTCATTATTCCCCTGTGTTATAAAGGGTGCTCTTTTATTGGGGACTCTCAGCTGCAGGACTGAAGGGTAACTAGAAAGGGCACAGTTGAAATTAAAAAAAGGAATAGAGGAGAAGTGGAGAGATTAATGACAGTCGAAAGAATCACTGTATTATCTGAGTTTAGGTTTGGAACA